TACAACAGAGAGAAGACAAGTAGTGGTTCTACAGCATCTTACTCTGCTGATGGACAGTGACTGTAATGGGGTTTGTGGGGGGGACTTGATGAAGGGGGGAGTCTAAGAAACAAAATGTTCCTCATGTAATTGTAGATTAATGATACCAAAAAAAAGTGTTTAGGGATTAATAACAATAATATTAAAATATAAAGTATTATGCTATTATCACATTTAGGTTGGACACCAATCCTAACCTCTTCCCCACAGTTTAATATCATCTACCACATGTAGTTCTAGATGATCTTCCATTCTACAATCCCTTTCTGAACTCCTGTTCCTACGTTAGAACACACTAATGTAGGATAATTAAAAACAACATCCAATTCACTTAAAACCAGCAATTTCTCTTCCAATACAAAATGGGCCTTGGTACCTTATTCATTTCTCAGTGATTCCTTAACCAGATCTCTGATCTCTCTGTAGACAGGCACATCATTTCTACCCAAACCTAAGAGCTTTTCAAAGCTGAGGTCTCATCTCAGACTGAGACTGAGATGACTCATAACCCAACTCTCCTGTATCTACCTGGAGAAAGTTTTCACTCCTACGGTCAAACAGGACCATCATTTCTATACCACGAAACCATGAACCTTATAAAAGAAGCTCAAATATTTCCTTCAAGGTACTTCACTCTTTCAGTGCTCCAACACTGCTCTTGAGAGAAGACAGAACACTTAGAAGATGAATGAATTATTTGATGAATATGTGAAAATCAGTTCAAAAAAATGGAGTAAATGAGGAGGACACCGTCCTTCTTTGTAAGGGGAGAAACCATGAAATAGGGTCAGAGATACAGCTTTCCTAGATAGAACGTTTCAGGGAAAAAGGATGAAAGTATTACATAAATTAAAAATCATAATATTTCATTAGGGAGAAAGAGACATCCACTTACCTGGGCCATCATTTTAGAATAGCCAATCTTCCTCAGGTTTTCTCTAGTAGAGAAGCCAAGTCCAGAGAACACAGAACTGGGGGGAAGAAAAAGAGACCTTTAGACCCAGTGTATTTCAGAACTTGAAAGGTAAGATAGCCTTTTCTTCTTTCTTCTTTATTCTTGATAAAGATTCCACTGTATAAAACCCAAGCATGGTAGTTAAGATATCACCTATCAAAAGACATAAGAGATGCTTTTAAGTAATAAGACACTGTCATTTTACAGGTATTCAATAATCAAATTATAAAGGGTGTAAAGGTAGGTGATGCACCAAGTATTAGTAAGGTCTCAGGGAAAAGAGAATTCTAAAGAGCATTCTCATGGTGTCCTGTAGACTTGTGAAAACCTAGTGTAATTGAGATGTAAGCAGATCACACACTAAGGTCAGAATCACGGGTAAATACAGGGCCTGTTATGGTGCCTTCCTCAGGAAAAATGGTGAAGAAAACAGAAATAAGCAGCACACCAAATACACTTGATCCTGTTGTGGCCAAACCAAATTGAAGAGATGAGCTGTGGGCATCTGGCCCTGTGGTTCCTGAATGAAAACAGCAGCCGGTGGTGCACAGGTATTCAATAATCAAATTATAAAGGGTGTAAAGGTAGGTGATGCACCAAGTATTAGTAAGGTCTCAGGGAAAAGAGAATTCTAAAGAGCATTCTCATGGTGTCCTGTAGACTTGTGAAAACCTAGTGTAATTGAGATGTAAGCAGATCACACACTAAGGTCAGAATCACGGGTAAATACAGGGCCTGTTATGGTGCCTTCCTCAGGAAAAATGGTGAAGAAAACAGAAATAAGCCAGCACACCAAATACACTTGATCCTGTTGTGGCCAAACCAAATTGAAGAGATGAGCTGTGGGCATCTGGCCCTGTGGTTCCTGAATGAAAACAGCAGCCGGTGGTGCTTGGACTTATAACACTACTTCTGCTGTCACAGTAAAGTCAGCCATCAGAAGACTGAAGGAATTGAAAGACCAGTAGAAGTGCTACCATTTGAAGATTAACAGACAATAAATGGATTAATTTATGTAATATAGTAAAAAAATGACCCAGAGATGATCAACATAGTGGAGCTAGTAGAAAGTACTTGAAAATATTATGATTAATATACTAAAGCAAAAAGAGGTAAGATAGGCAAAATGGATATCAATAGAGGAATAGAATCTTAAAAAATAGAATAATATAAACATTTTATAATTATAGAAGTATCAAAGTTGAAGAATGCATTGGATGGTTTTAACAGCAGAAGTAGTATTAGTCTACATAGTCAAATTAATAATAATCTTATGCAGAGAGAAAAAAGGAAAGAACAGACCAAACATAAATACAGGAAACAGTCAACTTGTGAAATTTAACACCTAAAACAAAATAGGATGGAAAATTTATTCAAAGAAATAATGGACAGTAAAATTCCAAATCTCATGAAATACCTTGATACACAAATCAAAAAGCTCAGCACATCTAACCGGATAAAATAAGGAAACCCATACCTAGGCACTTCATAGACAAATCGTTGAAAAACTTATCTTAAAAGTATGAAATTTTTAAAAAGATAGTTAAAAGAAAACAATAAAAAGAAATAGTTCATTTCTCAACAAAAATTATAGTGACCTAAAGAATTGATTACACCTTTAAGTGCTGAAGGAAAAAACTGACAACTCTGAATTTTATACCCAGAGAAAATCCTTTTCAGAAATGAAGATGAAGTAATGATTTTTTCAAACAAAGGCTGAGAGAATTTCTTACAACAGACCCACAGTATAAGAAATACTAAAGGACAACAGTAGGGCTAAAGGAAAATAATCCCAGATGGAAGAATGGATGTGTAAAAAACAATGAAGAACTGTAGACATAGTAAATATGTGACTAATATGACTGAACAAAGGGATAGCTTACAGTAACAAAAAATGCTTTGGGGCCCTAAAAAGAAGGAATGACAATAATAGTTAAAATATTGAATAAATGGAGTTAAAATTTTTTAATATTCTTACTTGGTATGTGATAAAAGCCCTAATTTAAAGGAGACTGTATCAAAGATACATCCTATAATATCTCAAGTAACTACTAAAAGAATGTACAACCAAAAAAGCTAATAGAGAAGATAAAATGGAATAATGATGAAAAATACCTGATTAATGCAAAAGACAGCAGGAAAAGGAGGACTAAAAAATAAAGAATGAATCAGACAAATAGAAAATATACAGTAAAATGACAGACTTAAACGAAACTATATCAATAATTGGAGAAAATTACAAGTGGATTAAACCTTGCAATTAAAAACTAAAACAAGTTAGATTGAAAAGTAAAACAGAATCAGTTATGCTGCTTATAAGAAACATACTTGAAAGACAAAGACACAGACATGTTAAAAGTAAGAGTGGAAAAATATATTAGATGGTAACTAGAAGACTGCTGGCAGGTGTAAGTATACTAATAAGAAATAGAAGTACTTATTTATTTATAATTTACAGTTTTACAATTTACATTTATTTACCTATACTTCTTTATAGTTATTTATAAGATGACATAACATACTTTAATGCAAGATGTATAAGTAATAGAGACATGTTCTACAATTGAACAATATAACAATAGTCCTACATTTCTTACATACCTAAGAGCTTCAAAATATATAAAGCAAAAGTTAGCAGAATTAAAGGACAGACAAATTTATAATTAAGTTAGAATTTTTAATACCCTCCATTGGTAACTGATAACAGAAAGAAGAGAAGAATCAATAAGGTCATAGAAGTTTGAATGGGATTAACCAAACTGACCCAACTGAACATTATACTCCCAAACTACAGTCTACACATTCTTTTCAAATGCTCACGGCATATTTACCAGAATATTCTGGACCATAAGACAAGTATTTATAAATTTCAAATGATTAATATCAAATAAAGTCTATTTTCTGAACCCTTTGGGATTAACTTGGAACTCAAAAACCAGTATTTCTCAAATGTTTCCAAATATAAAAAATTTACTTCTTAATGAGTAGAGGTCAAAGAATAGATCGTAATGGAAACTAGAGAATATTTTGAGCTTAATGATAATGAAACTATGATATAACAAAGCTTGGGAGATGCAGCCAAATCACTGCTTACAAAGACATTATTAGCTTTAAATGTGTTTTTTTTTAAACAAATACAGATAAATGCCATTCATTGTTTAATCGCCATTGATAGCTACTAGGTGTACAAAGACATAGAGCAAATTACCAGTGAAATTATTATGGAAATCCTTTGTCAAATTACTTCAATGCCAAATAAATCCAGAATTTATTTTCCCCGAATGAGCAGTACGTGCATTTGTAATGATTTGTAATGACTGCCCACTTTTTTTCTTTCTTTTTATGTTTTGACGCCTTTCATCCAAACAGAAATATTTTGTAAAGATGGAAAAGTTAACAAGCAATGACCTATCTTGGGAGCTGGAAAAGGAAAAGCAAATTAAACCTAAAGAAGTACACTGTACTAAAAGAAGCCAATGACAAAATACCCAGACACACAATACAGAAAAATCAATAAAGCCAAAAGTTATTTCATTGGAGAAGTAAGACTGATAAGTCTCTAGCAATGCTAAGAGATCAAGAAAAAACTGCTGGTATCAGGAACATAAAATAAAAT